GCAGTGAGCTTGGGCTGCTATGACAAATACTATAGACCCGGGGCTCTAACAAAGGCCATGTATTTCCACAGTTCTGGAGGCAGGTCCAGGGCCTGGGAGCGCCTGCCTCTTGACTCACAGACAGCCACCGTCCCATAGTGTCCTCACGTGGCCAAAGGAGAGCTCTAGTTTCTTCTTAAGGGGATACTAATAGCCTCATGGGGCCTCTACCCTTGTGACCTCATCTAACTCTGATTACCTCTTAAAGGCTCCACCTCCAAGTACCATCTCCTTAGGGAGCAGGACTTGACAGGAATTTGGGAAGGACTGTAACACCCTAGACACTCACACATGGACTCCCTCATTTCTTCCTGGTCTCTGCTCTAATGGCTCCTTAACAGGTGTCTTCAAACGTGGTAATTCAGAAAACTAAATATTCAGTGACAATACAATAACAGCTTCTTTATCAATGTTGGCATGAAAACAAGAATCTGAAAGCAGAAAAAATGTTGATTGCTGGGAAATGCTTGCTGGTCTGCAGGTAGAGACCACAGCTGTGGCAGAAACTGAAGGAAGTGAGGCTGCAGCAACAATTTCAAACAAAGCCACCAACATTGTCTGTGATTTTCCTTTTCACGTCCCACAGCCTGAACACCTGAGCCGTGTCCTCCTCTCAGGACTCAGTCCTTGTTCTCTGAGGCAGGTGAGACGCCCAGCAGTGCTCGGTGGCCACAGGCAGATCGATGGGCACATGTCTTGTTACTCCCCAGGCCAGCCTGTCCTCGCTGCACAGATTGGGCTCCCCCTCTCACCCCATGGTCATGGGCAGGCTACACACTCAGCAAGTATCAGAAGCTGTAGAAAAGGTTCCTTTCAGCAGATGATCATGTTTAAAGTTATTTTACGACAGTTATTTATTTCGATGTTTCTCATATTTCAACTCCCAGATAAATGATCTTCAACTGTAGTAATAATGTCAGTGGCCACCACATATATTAAGCACTGTGACCAGTGTTTTGCGTGGATTACCTGATTCCTAATTCCATTATACTGCAGAGAAGTCAGAATTCAGTGAAGTGGGAAACTCAGACACTGAACATCCTCCCCTTTCCCACAATTTAGTAATCAGTCCTGAAGATTAAATAACTCCAACTTATGGCTTAAACAGTTCTAATTGTGTCTCGAAGTCAGAAGGAAAAGAAAAGTAGAGTAGGTGTTTGGTAATTCACAGGAGAAAAGTAGAGAAAACAGTCATTAAAATAATGGCCCGTCATGCCTCTGTCACCATCCCTTCTGACCGGCCAGTGTCCCCGCCCTGGAGTTATTGCTGTTTTGAGTGTGCCCATGCTCAGCTTTGCCCCTGTGCTCAGGCCTGTGGTGCTACAGAAGGGGCCTGCCCTGTACAGTCCCCGCCTACTGTCCAGGAAACCACCCCTCCATTGCTCTGCACCCTTTCCCAAGAGTACATGTCCCAGTGCTGAGCTGTTGTTTAACGTAATACACTCGAGCTGTGAAGGAGAGAGGATGGTCTTGGAGTCCAGGTCCTCTGAAGTGGGCACAGACAGGCCAAGTCAGTCCCTCTGAGATGCCAGCAGCATCACAGTGAGTTGCAGGTCTGTGACTTCATGATGTATTCTCCCAGAGATGCAGGGTAACAGCTTCCTTCACACACACACACACACACACACACACACACGCATTCTTCTCAAAGGCAAGTGTCCATCTTCACACCGAGCACAGTGTGACCCTTGAGGGGAAGCCTCTTCGTAACTGCTCGGGGCTGAGGCAGCCTGGCTCACAGTAGTTAGCACTTCACACGATTTCACAGAATTGTGCAAAGCATGAATGGTGCTCTTTCTTTTTCCCTTGGTGCATTTTCATATATGCTGCCAGGAGTCATAGCCAAGTATAAACTTCTGAAAGAGCCATCCACAGCCACACGAGACTCAGCAGGAGCTCCCCACTTCACCCCCAGTCTGTGGTTAGGAGGAAGGCTGGGAGCTTTGTCCTTCCAGTTGAAATGACACACCAGACCCAGAGAACAGTATGTTCAGCCTCCCCCAGGGAGACAGTATCTCACGGAATGGTGCATCTGAGGGCATACCAGTTCAGAAATGGTCAGGGCCCAGGGAACTGAGGACAAGGCCAGCCCTGAGATGGATCAGCATCTAGGAAAAGGGTGCCACAGCAGAGCTTGACAGAGGTGATAGAGCCAAGCAGGTAAAACACGGCATCAGGTTGGTCCACTGTTACCTAGTTATGGGCCAGGCAAATGGGCAGCAGTGAGAGAAGAATTTGGGCCACATCAGTAGGAAACCCTGAGCTGCTGATGCTCAGCAGACAAGGTGGGAGCAGCATTGGGTGGTCTGCCTGTAGTAGCCGGACCCCTGGCTGGGGCGTAGGTGGGGGTCCTGACCCCTTGGGAAGAGTCAGGCAGTGTGCCATAGAGCCCCAGGACGTCTTAGTGCGTCTCTAGTAAATATAAGTCCAGCAGAGAGAAGTCAGAGTAGTGATGGAGATCGGCGCCCCCCAGGTATCTGTGGAAGCCCTGAGCTGCCAAACAGGGACGGGTACTGATGACTTTATCTGCCCCGAGTGTGTATGAAGCAACAAAATACATTGGTGAGGACACTTCTTTTTCTTTTGTTTTAATCTCACCCAAGGATATTTTATCCATTGGTTTTCAGAGAGTAGAAAGGAGAGAGAGGGAGAGAGAAACATCAGTGTGAGAGAGAGACATGGATTGGTTGCCTCCCACATGCGCCGACCTGGGGACCGAGCCTGTACCCGAGGTACAGGTACATGCCCTTGGCAGGGATCAAACTTGGAACCCTTCAGTTCGAGGGCTGACACTGAGCCACACCACCATCCAGGGCCTGAGGATCCATTTTTAAGTGAATGGACCAGCACGTACATTTAGAGAAAGTGATTCTCACTTCAGGTGGAAGAAGGGACCCTGGGCGTGCACTACGATGGGCTTGGCTTGGCCTCATCACCCTCTGTCCTTTCAGTGAGGGCTCAAGACTGCTTTTCACAGCCCCGTATATTTGGGTGGGATTGTGTGACAGCCTGTCCGACAGAAGGGTAGGCAGCAGTGACCTGGTCGTTCTCAGGCCAAGGAGGTGAGGAACCCATGCAGTGTGTGCAGTGTCTCCACCAGAGAGAAGGAGACTGAAGGAGCCTGAATTGCCAGGTCCCCGCGCAGGGTGTGCCTGTGAGGGGCTGCTGTGTGTTCCCACAGCACAAATTCGAAACATTAAAGCATAAGCCCATGCCTAGAGGTTCCAACAGGGAAAATATCTCAGGAGTAACTAAATGGTTTTAAAAACACTAAACAAAAAGATCCCTCTGACTGCAAATAAAAATGACCGAGTGCAGAAGCAGAGTAGTGATGCCTGAAATGGTGTGCACTGTGAGTCAGTGAGGTCTGATTCACGCGGGTGTAAACCGACGGGTATGTGGATGGACATGGCCAACCATAAATGCAAATGAGCGTTCAAGTGGATTGTTTCAGGAAAGACCATTCCTTAAAAGAATAAACCTTGTTGAAAATGCCATGGGCCGTGAAAAGCCCTTGTTTAAGTACGACCAAAAGTAAAAAGGACCAGCCCTGGCCAGCTGGCTTGGTTGGTTGGAGAGTTGTCCCATCACCAGAAGGCCTTGGGTTTGATTCCTGGTCAGGGCACATTGCCAGGTTGTGGGTTCCATCCCCAGTTAGGGTGCATAGGGGAGGCAACCAGTCGATGTTTCTCTCTCAGGAAACATCAGTGTTTCTCTCCCTCTCCCTTTTCTCTAAAATCAATAAAACCATACCCTTGGATGAGGTTTAAAAAATAATAAAAATGTTTTTAAAAAGCAGCCATGGAGCATGGAGCAGAGCTGCGGAGGAGGGGTGATTCTCCAGGGGAAGGACACTGGGATGAGAAAATACAGTCAGCCTGGGTCCTATATCTGAAGGTTTCCATGTGGAAGAGTGATCTGATAGGTGGTAGGTGATGTGGTGATGTGCCAGGAAGGCACCGTGCACCTGTGGTGCTGTTAGGAACGACAGCATTCCAAGCGAGGACGTGCGGTTGTGCTCCTGGTCCCACTGTGGGGACTCTTCTGGATTCTCGTGCCTGGTGCTGGCACAACCCTTTTAAAGGAAACCTAACAAGTTAGTTTTATCCCGGAGAAGTGACAGGGAAAGCACAGGTCTGAGACCCTCTTAGAGGAGGGCAGGCTGAAGAAGATGAGATTCCAGCTTGGGAAAGAGCTGATGCAGTGGGACATAAGGGCACTGATACCATCATTGATACCAGACAGGGACCTTGGGTGGAAGTGGCCAAAATCCAACTGAAACTAGGCTAAAGGAGGGAAAAATGTACCATAGAAACACGTTCTAGACTAAGGAGCTAGGCAGACCCAGCCTGGTGTTTTCTGACTCATCTCCCTCCCCCTCCCCCTGCTCTGCTTCCTTGAGCGTTGTCTTCATTTCTGCAGGCACGTCCCCCTGGGCAGACTCCCTGCCCCTTCCCCACAGTGAGAGTCTCCTGCCCCTTAGTCGGACCACTGTGGTCTGGGTGATGTCTTGCTGTCCTGGCTGTCCCCATACCCGCACCTGGGCAGGGAGAGGGATAGCCCGACCCTGTGGACAGAGCAGAACTGCGGAGGAGGGGAAGGGTGAATCTCCAGGGGAAGACACCAGGCTGGAAACATCAGCCTGGGTCCTGTATTTGCAGGTTTCCATGAGGCAGAGCGATTTGATCTGAAATCCTCATTTCTAGGGGGCATTACTCAGTACAAGTGGCAGTAAATTTTATTTAATCTAGGGAAACGCATTTTATTTATTTTTAATTTTTTTAAAATATATCTTTATTGATTTCGGAGAGAGGAAAAGAGAGGGAGAGAGAGAGAGAAACATCAGAGTCATTGATCGGCTGCCTCCCGCACGCCCGACTGGGGATCGAGCCCGCAACCTGGGCATGTGCCCTGACTGGGAATTGAACCCCGATTGCCTGGATCCTAGGTCAGTGCTTAACTGCTGAGCCACACCTGGCCGGGCAAAGGAAACACATTTTTAAAAAAATCAGACTTTAAAAAGGGAAGAAGAAATGCTGTGCTCCATAGACAGAGGGCTGTTCATCTGAGACACGGGGATCAGTGCTGAGGTAGGGGAGAGTCAGACCACTTTCAGAGTCAGGTTCCACATGGACACCCAGGCCCTGGGATACTGGTTGTGTTCAGAGGAGAAGCATTGTAGCCACAAGGGGCTATGTCTTAAGTGGCCACAGAATTTGGAGGTCGAATACGCATTCACCACGCACACTTGAGATGGAGTTGAGGCAACAAAGCACTATTTATTGGAGCGTTAAGTAAAACAGAGTAAAGCAAAGTGAGACAAAGGGTAACGATGAGTCCTCACCACCCAGTGTTTCCAAGAGTCGGGGGAACTGAGGCAACACCTTGGCTTCAGGGGTGTCTGGCAAGCATCCCCGTTGGAGAGTTCCGAATAGGGCCCCCCAGGAAGCTATTTTCATAGGATTTGATTTATGGAGTTTCAACAGCTCCGTGCTGAAGAGTGTTTGATTTATGTAGTTTTGACAGCTCTGGGACGTATATGAGGTTTCTGCAGCAACGGGGCAACCTATGTGTTGTTACCATAACCACAGGGGCACCTCTGCATGGTCCTATGCATGCATCCCACCTGTGGGTCAGCTATCAGTCAACCAGGAAGGCTGGCGAGGCCGTTCAGAGATCACTGCTGCCCCGGTGCCACCCAGACAGAACGTTTCCAGAACACAAAGAGTGGAAGGCACAAAGGGGCACCTGCTTCCTATTGTATTTACTTAACAAGCACATACCTGGAAGCACAAACCTGGAGGCAGTCTTTCCAGCAGGATGTTGCTGTTACAAATGTCCTGTTTATATGCGCCCACAGTGGGCTGGCCACTGTGGGAGCCATGCAGTGTGTGGACTGAGTGCCAGAGCTCTAAGGTGGCCCCCTACAGACACCACACTCGCGTCTCACAACAGAGCCTTTCAATGCATGGTTTTGGTTTTGCTGCTCCTGAGTGTGTAAGGTGCCTCACGCCTCCTTGTGAGCTTTGCAGAAAATGGGGTTATGCCCACCCACCCTGTTCACCAGGCAGCCCAGCTTTCTGGCATGAGCAGTGCCCCTTCAGCGACGTAGGTCTTCTGGGGATACCCACTGGGTGAGCACATGAGCAGGTTAGTCATTTGAGGCCTGGTGTGGACATGTGTTTTCACTTATTTGGTGATTGACTCTAACCTTAACTGCTAAGCAAACAGCCCTGTCCTTGGACAGAACTGAATTTTACCTCTCAAGAGAAGAAAGGCAACACTCATGGGCCACCTGATAGCCTCCTGGAAAGCAGGAGGCAAGAACGTGAGCACAGCTGGTAGGCAGAAGGAAATCCCGCCTGCGCAGCTGGGTCACAGAAGAGGTTTCCCACACGGCCAGAGAGGAGCTTGGGGAAGGGGAAAGCCCTACAAAAAAGCAAACACATCCCTCAATAACTGAGAGGAGCCCCTTAGGACCAGCCCTGAGGGGCAGGGTTTGGTTCCCACCCCTCCCTGGCAGGCACTAGGAGCCACACCTTTATACACTAACACTAGGTCTGTAAAAGGAGAGGAATATATTTATTTAATTCAAATAAGATTAAAAAACAGACTGTAAAAGAATTAGGATTTTCAATAACTTACTATTATTTACATTAGCAAATGCTGGTCCTTAGTAGACACTGTGAGGAGATAGAGATAAGCTCGCAGACCCTCCCCCCCAGGACCAGAGAAACAGGCAGGTTGAGGGCAGGACTCCCTCATTCCCTCCTTTCACGTTACTATGGCAATTACGTCATCTTTGGGACTGGTAACCAGCAGGAGGGGGAACCTCTGGGGCCCAGGTGGTCACGCCATTACCCTGAGGAGAGGCTGGGGCCAGGCAGGGTTCTCTCCCTGTTGAGGCAAATCTTTAACTTGGCCCAGCTCATAAGCACCTGATGGTCGAGGATTCCCTATCCCTGTCCCCATTCACAACTCCCCCCTGTAAACACCAACTGTGGCTGACACAAAGCCAGCCCACAGTGTCTGGGAAAAGGTGAAAAACAAGTGAAGGCCACATGTCCTGCTTCCCAGGAAAATGCTGACGACTTAACATGCCCTCCTGGGTCCTCCAGAACTTGGCAACTCAACAAAATCTCATGTGGACTGTTCTGTCCGCTTGTCATGCTGGGGATGGCAAGAGGGAGGGGGCAGCTGGCCCTGGGCCACTGGACCAGTAGAAAGGCTCCTCCCAGGAAGCAGTCGCAGGAGAGGAGAGACCCAGCAAGGCCCGGGGCGTCTGCCCTTGCACTGCGAGGTCCTGCAGGCACTTACGGCTCCTCCACACACAGGGAGAGTCCCAGGAATGCAGACACAGGCCAGTGTGCAGTGGGGACTCCTGGAACCTGGCCCCTGGTTGTTGGAGATCGTGGGGTTGGCCCTAACCCTGGAAACCTCCACTGCTCCACTCACAAAACACCAGGCCTCCCGGTGCAGGTAGCTGAGCGGGGCCTGGCCGCAGGGTGATACTTGGTCAGCGCAGGCACGGAGCCCTGGCCTGGCGCCGGTGCAGTGAACAGCGGCAGAGAGCAGCTGAGGGCTGGGGAGGGGGCCCCATGGAGACTCAGTCCAAAATGTCTGTCTCAAAGGGGACCAGGTGGTAGTAGGAAAGGTTGGTGTCATAAACTGCTGGGTCATCGCCATCCTCCAGCTCCGAGGTAAACTCACTGCCGTTTTCAAACCTGAAACAGGAAAGACAGGTGAGGGCTGCGGCCACCGGCTCCCGACCCCAGCTCTGACCTCAGCTCCTCTGAGATGGGGAAGCACAGCGGGCACTGTTAGGAGGGCACCAAGGGATCGGTGTCAGGCAGTACAGGGACCCTGCACTGGGCTGTGAACCAACATGCTTCCCACACACAGGGCACAGTGCTGCGGGTGTCAGGGCGAGGCCTGCAGAGGGACAGCCTCCCTCTGCCTCACCAGCAACCCGCTTACCCCGGCATTTCAGGACATACTTGTGCCATCTACCTGGGAGACACCAGAGACTCTAAGGGAGTGGGAACTGTTGGCTGGTGCCTGGTCCGTGAGGCTGAAGGGCTCCCCCACCGGGGGGAAGTCACATCCTGAGGTCACACTCTCTTGCAGCCACCCAGCCCAGATGCGGACATCAGCATGGGAGTCTGTCCTGGTCCTTTTCATTTTCAGTGGAGTGGATGGGCTGGGACCTGGGACTCGGAGAGGCCCCTCCACCCACTGGTTGTGCTCCCCTGGGTGCACAGGGAGACCACACCCAGTGCTGCCTGGGGGTTGAACCAGGTGAGTCACACTCCTGACCTGAGGTCTTCAGACTGGATCTTCGAGAGCAAAGTGGCCCCACAATGAAGATTAAGAGGAACCAGAGAGGTTAAACAACTTCCTGACACTCACACAGCCAGGGGAGCCCTGGGCTTGGTCTTGACAATCAACAGAGGCCCAGCTGGGATGCCCCTGAAGCTGCTGCCTGGTAAGATAATTCCCAAGGAGACAGCTGAGCCACAGCAAGAAGGCCGCTGTGCCTGAGGGCCCCACGGGCCCCTACAGCACTTCCCGTCAGAGTTCCCTTATGAGGGAGAACCAAGAGGTTTCCAGCTGTCCTGCCTTCTCAAGTCAGACTGCCCTCCCTCTCCAGAGCAGGCCTCAGGCTCCCCACCCCCCTCCAGAGCAGGCCTCAGGCTCCCCACTCCCCCTCCAGAGCAGACCTGCTGGTCCAGGATCCAGCCACCTAGCATCTGGAGATTCTAGCCCTGCGCTGGCATATGAGGCCAACATGCTGGTGACACTTCTCCCCAGAAGACCAGGCTCTGCACCCCTCAGGGCCCAGTACAGACGAGACCCTGAGGCCTGGCCACAGCTGCTCAGTGGCCTGTCACAGCAGCCATGAGGGTGAAGGAACTGTGGTCCCACAGGTTTATGAACCAAGGTCTCATGTCCTCTAGAAAAGGAAAGCTCTTTAAGTGTCCATTACACGCAGGTCTTGCCCACAGAGCCCCAGCACCGGCTGATGGCTCCACGACCCATCTGTAAAACAACATTCAGACCAGTGTACTCACAAGTGCTGTGTTGCATCCACACCCAGGTGCTGCTCTTTCCCATTTGGTATACTGTGGTCAATAACAATGGTTTCTGTATTTGCTAAACAAAATCCATTGGACCTCATGATTTCTGAAAATGAAAGCAACAGGTAGACATTCAGGAGGTGTGAGGTTTTGAAGTTTGGGACTTACATCAATCTATAGACTGTTCTCCACCTGCTGCCCTGTCTCCCCACACTTTAGGGAACTCTGCACCCCAGAGGTGCATGCTGGGGCTACCCTGGGGTCAGGGCACACAATTCAGGGGCTGATAACCTCCACAGGAGCCACACCCACTGCCCTATGCAAGCTTAGGGCGCCTCTCCCCCCAGGGAGCGCTCTGGTGGTCCCGGTGTGTTTGAAGCTGGAGCAGAAGGAACACTGAGCTCACATCTGAGTCTGGATCCAGGGCACACTGCAGGCTATGCAGGTCTCCAAACGCCCGCCTGTCTGAGAAGAGACAGCACCGTCCCCGCCCTGGGCTGCCAGGAGGATCCTATGAGCTCAGGGTGCATTTTAAGCCATGTGGGTGACTTCACTTCTCACTTTTATCTCATTCTGCATATATACAGATTTTTTTACCAACAAGCACAAACTCTGATTAAAAAGGCCCACAAAGAAAATGTCTTCACATGTCTGTGTTCACTGTGAGGCCTCAGTTTTCCAAGGACATAGGACTTGAGTTGTTGGCACTGGAAAGGGTGGGCATGGTGGTGCTGGAAGAGGTGGCAGCTGAACAGTACCAGCTGGGAGCTCAGCCCATCCGCGAGCTCTCTGATCCTGGGACTCAGCACCCTTAGCTGGAAAGTCTCTGGTGCACCCTCAGACTCAAAGGATTATCCAGTGGGTCGCCTTCCCATTCAGGAACTAACATGGAAACACGCAGCTCCAAGGAGCCCTTCTTTTCTGGGTACAGGCACAGGCGGTGAGGCCACCCGATCACTGGCACCTGACACTGCTATGCTTTGAGAAATTTATTTTTTTCTTACATCTGACCATAATTTAGATTATTTTATCCCCATGTATGGTTTTTCTTTTTTATAAGTGAAACTAACTCCATGTGTATTTTTTTCTCTCTCTAGATATTTGGTTCTCAGTTCTTTAAATTTCTCTCCATATGAAGAGAATTAGGGAAACTACACAAAAATGAAGAAAGAAGAATAGATTTCCTCCTTACCCTACAGGATTAAAGTGACTTCCTGTCCATCAGATCTGCCAAGTAATTAGTTGCTAAAATTTCCGCCTGGGTTTATGGAAAAGTGATAGCTCATGTTTCATGGGTTTTCTCAGCAGCTCAGTCAGCCCCACTGCAAGTGACGTCAGAATGACATCCTGGGGGCCCAGCAGAGCTGCCCGCCTTCCCTGTGTGAGAACCAGCGCGAGAGCCTGAAAGTCCTGAGACTGAGCACCGAAGGCCAACAGGAGGTTGGTGCTGGGGTCAACATTCCTGGTGCCAGAAGGTGCAAGATGTTTCCCTGAGCTCCAGTGACTCTGAAGATGACTAAGTCTTAACCAGAAAGACTAAGATCCCCTCACCTCTCAGCTTTAAGCATGTGGGAGCACTAATGAAAGCAGTAAAAACACCGCTTTCTTCAGCTGCTTTCAGTAAGTCTGACTCAAATCTGTCTCAGGAAGCACAGAGGACCCCAGAGTGACACAGCCAGTGAGGGCCAAGCACCTTTCTCCACCCCTGGCCAAGGGAAGGGAAGGGAAGGGGAGAACCTCACAAATGAAAACTAGTGTCTGTGCCTCAGCACATTTCTGAGTGTTATGAAAGGACACTTGTACAGGAACTTCCTACTCTCTTAAATGTAAAATGTGGAGCTCTAGAAAGGGGTTTGTGACCAGCCCCTGAAACAGCCACTCTGCCTGTGCTCAGCCTTTGTGCCCACCCTTGAGGAAACTCCAGTCCTGCTACTTGTGCCTGGGGAAACAGGTGACTTCTTGCTCAGTTAGTTTTGTCACCTGTGAAATGGGAACAACAGCATCTATCCCAAAGGGCACCGTGCGGATGGAACGAGGTGGTGGTGGGTAAGCGGAAGTTATTATCATCATTATTGCTAATAGCTCCATATCTGTGTCATGCAAATTAAAAAACCCAAAAGCAATGTTGTGATTACAGAAAATTATAGCATTTGAACCTATATTCAAACACACCTAAAATGCAAATTTCTCAGAAGTCAGTTTAGTACCTACAACAAAAATTAAAAAAAAAAAAAATAAATCACTGTCCAGGGAGTCCATGAAATAGATTGTTCTCAAGCTACATTTTTGCATTTGTATTTTTTTCACATTAAGCAGAGTCCTGCTTTGCCATTTCTAATTTTTCCTAAAATTTCTGAGCTAATCTTAGAATGACAAGAAAGTTGTGAAAACAGTATAGAGTTCTCACATATCTCTCACCAGCTTCTCCTAATGTCGGCACTTCAGGTAACTAGGGTCTGATTACCAAACACAAGAAGTTGACATGCACAGTGCTGTTGACTGAACTTGGCCTTCACATGCGTTTCACCGGTGTTCTCACTAATGTCCCTTGTTTTGGTTTCAGACCCAGTGCAGGACCCCGTTGCATTAAGCTGTCGTGTCCAATCTCTCGTGACCTCAGACAGTTCCTCAGTCTAATCTCATTTAGTGACCATGGCACTTTTGAAGGGGACTGGTGAGTTATTTTACTGACTGCCTCTGATATATCTGATATTTCTGTGCCTTTCACCGAAGTGGTGCGTCCTGGGCGGGAACCCTGCAGAGGGCACCATGCCCTCGCTGGCACCACTTAGTGGAGGCCTGGCCATTGCACAGTCTGAACATTAGCACAGAGGCCAGATTGGCCTAAGTCAGGAGAGGGAAGCGCGGCCTCTGCCAGCCAGGAGGCCTGAGCTGGTCCCTATGGCACCTCCTCCCTCCATGCCACGCCCATGGTGTGAGGAGGCCTTGGGAAGTCTGTGGGGAGGGGGGAGGAGGAGGAGAGGTTGGTGAGTCGCAGTAAGTGAGGGTGTTTTCACAATAAATGGAATTTAGCAGGATAGGAGTGGACGTGGAAGGGCAAAGCCAGCACAAGCAAAGCCCAGCCAGGAAGAGGCTCAGGGTCTGCAGTTCCATGGGGACAAAATCAGGAAAAGCTAGAGTCAGCCCAGGGCAAAGCAGACTCCCACAGCCGACCTGGGCTCCAGGCTGGCACGAGGGGCCAGCACCCTGTCTTCCTGGACCTGGACCCTAGCCTTGCACAAAGGCCTCGCTGAGGTGCATCCCGCACAAGCCTGAACCTGTCTTCAGTCCTCACAGAGACATGGAGAACATACTTCAAACCTTGGCCGGGACTCTGCAGCCACCGCTACCCTTCACATCTTGGTGTTCTCCGCTCTGTAGGGTGAACACGGCCAGGAGCTTGTCCCAGTCACTGAGGCTGGGCTGTGCCGGCAATGCCACACGTCCCGAGCCTGTCCTCCACTCCAGGGCCAACCTGAGCAGCACCAGCTCCTGCCACCAACACTGGCCCTGAAGGGGTCGTGTGGCTCTTTGCTCTCCCATTTGCTCTACACAGAAAGAAATACAGCAGACAGACACCAGTGCTGGGCTCTCCCACCATGTACTGTGGACAGAAGCTTGTCCCCGCTCCAGGTGGCAGCAGGCAAACACGGCACGCCTGGCAGTTAGGGTCCTGGAGCCCATGGACATCTGCTAGAATAAATGACAGACATTTCACTCCCCTGTAAAGAAGGAGGGCTCCCAACCCCCTGCTCTTCTTTCTGAAAACACACAGGAAGCTGCTGTGGGTGGACCTCAAACGTGGCCAACAGATGTGCCCAGGCTTAGGCTTAGCTGTCCCGCTCACAGCCAGTCACGCCTGGGAGCACCTTCTCCGTGCCGGGCTCCCAGAGCTCGCCTGCCCCGGCCCCTCACAGCACACAGACTGTGGTCCCTGCTGTGGCACAGAGCTAAATAAGGACACTTTTCTACCAACGATATCATCCCAATTTGTCTTGTTCTGTCTCCCCATCACCATGGCCACCAATTTCTTCTTAGGAGCTGGCTCTGGACCCTTCTCCCCTCTCATCTACTGACTTTTTGATGAACTTCCTTCCGAGTCCTGCTCCTCCCTTCTGCCTCCACTCAGAATGGAATGTGGACACGAACCCTCCTCTCCCTCTTAGAGATCAGGGTGTCCGGCAGGCTCACGCCCAGCCGAGCTGCACCTCCTCTTACAGCTGCCTCCCGCCCTCTCCACCCAGCAAACGCCTGCGAGACTCCACTCAAATGCTACCTCTTAGGCCAATACAAGTGGACTGCCTGCTGCCCGGGGCAGCCCAGCTCCTGAGCCCAGGAGAGAGCATTCCCTCAGCAGCCTTCAGAGCAGCCCTGCAGAAGATAACCATGTTCTAACACCTCAGAACGCCCCTGAGGGTGAAGGCCAGGCTTCCCCTCCTTTCCACTGACCCCACAGGGAGTGGGCCCGTGCTCTGCTCTCACCGCTGCTGCCCACTGCTGCTGGCCTTGCCTCTGGTTCACTTGCTGCTGATTTATCAACACTCATGATACCTAAACGGTGTGCTCCCCTCGGGGTGCCCGAACTAAAAACTAACTCAGCGCTGCCTTATGGGAACAAGCTCATTTTAGCAGGTTCGACTCCTGAGAGTCCAGAAGTTTGCTTCACAAATGCCTCCTTCCTAAACATTTAGGAGGCATCATCATACTATTTCTTAAGCTCCAACTTAAATGCCAAATAACTCCCTTAGGAAGGAGGAGGAGTGTGAGCTCGAGGTCGGAAAACACGCTGTTTCATAAAGATCCACTAACAGCCTCTCCCCCACCCTGGTCAGCGTTCTGCTGGACTGTCTTCCTGGAGCCTGGGGGTGGAAGGTGTGTCCAGCCTCCCAAGTGCCTCTCGGAAAACCACCCGCACTCCCCCAGCCTCCATGCGGCTCTCACCTGATATTTTCACTGGACTCTGAAAGCTGGGTTGAATTTTATGCACACTGTCATTTTTTAACACCTGATCCAGAGGAGACCTTTCAAAGAAGGTGAGCACGACTTCTGACCTGGAATACTGAGGAGGAATCGGTGGATTACTAGGAGTTACTCTTCTGCAAGGTGGCCTGTCTGTTGCTTCCGCCTGAGTTGCTCAGACAGCCCACAGGACCAACCACGCTGAAGAGGCTGCGGTCACTGACCTTCTCCTTTACTTACAGCCCCACGTGGCTGAAACGCAAGGCCCCAGGGACAGGCAGGATGGGCAACGGAAACTGGCTGGTTTCTGAGTGCGCTATGGCTGCCATTTCCCTAGTCTCCCCGCACCTCACAGAACACTAGGAGCCGTCAGTCTCCCCTCCCACAGGGGAGAGGAAAGCTGCCGGAGGGAAGCGATCGCCTGAGACCTGTTCTTCACGAAGGCTGCATCCAAGCCTGCAGGCGGTATTAAAGGCCGATGCCGATGTCCACACTCCCTCGGGCTCCCACACACCCTCTCAAACACCCTTAGCTACCCCAGGGGGCTTTTGCATGGAGGCAAAAGCAAAGACCACCATAGCGAGGGGCCATATCCCTTCCTAGTCAATACTTCCTTGTCCCTCACTCCACTTCCCCTGGGAGAAAACCATGGAGCCACAGGAGCTCACCAAGCCTTTCTTTCCTGGTTCTATCCACCCACCTCCCCACAGCCCACACTTCCGGGAGGGCAGGCAGCCAAGGGAGCCAGCAGGCAGGCCTGTGGGAGCTGTGGGAGCCCCCCCCATGCAGACACCCACTCACCTTGCAAGGCATGCTGATGATGGCCTTCAGCAGCTTCTCTGCCTCATTCAGCCTGGTCTCTATATCACGGGCATCCTTTATGGCGACCAGTCCTGCCATGGAGACAGACATGCCCGGTCAGAAACACAGACCAGGACACAGGCTCCCACATTAATGCAGACAACAGGCCTCCCACAATGAGGGTGCTGCCCCATGTCACCAAGCATAAGGGCATCTGCGTGCATCTGCTCGGCCTCCCTCACGTGTGTACAGCCCACCCTGAGCCCTGCTCTATGCCCCAGGCTGTGTGTAAAGATGAGTGGATGGATGACTCGTGTGTGTGCTGGTGACGGTGTCATAAAGAAGTCTGGTTGCCGGGAGAGCCAGTGGGTGGGGCAGGCAGGTAGGAGCCCCAGACAGACCATCCAAGATCCCTAAGGGGGACACTTGTGCCAGTGTCATCAACGCCCAGGGCCATGCAGGTAGGCAGGTGGCTGTACCAGGGGAGGCTGCCCTGGACACACCCACTCCCAGTGGCAGAGAAGGAGGGGCTCACTCTGCAGACATGCTGACACAGGGCCCATCTCAATGGAGCCCATATTTAGGCAAGTCATTTAAAGGCTGGGTTTGGAAGGAAAAATCAGATTTGTACTCAGACAAAACCAATGTTTCAATGTTTCAAAGTGCATGACTCAGCACTTCTCAGGAATCTGAGCGTCTGTCCTTGTTATGAGGAGTCTGGCTGTAGGAAGGGCAGGCTATTGCTTTGTACACACTAGAGGCTGCAGTGTGGAGACTCGGGGAGTTTCTGTGCATTGGCTTCTTGGGGGATGGGAACATCAGATTCCCAGGGAAACCTGCATCTTTCTGTACTTCTATGACCTGAGAATGCTGTCCCCTGAGCTCTGACACAACCACACAGCCAGGAATCCCAGAACTGTTACAGTGACTGAGCCTAAGGTCTTCAGAAGCTCCGGCTTCATTTTTTTTTTTACAGGAGAAAGGGGGGCTCACATTTTTAGGCAACTCGTTGACTGAGTCTACATAAGTGATAAAATTAATTTCTTAACTTACATGATTGAACTGAAGAGGCCACACCACAGGGCCCCTGGGAATCAGGAGCACCTGACATGGGGCAAAGGCATTTCCGAAAGCCTGGCTACAGTAGGGGGACCCTCGACAACGTCGGCTCGGATCCAGACCAAGAACTGTCTGCTGGACTTCCTGAAGCACAGGCCCCCTGGGTGCGGGCAGCCCTGCTTGGCCCAGCCCACCCTCGTCCATGCAGGCCCAGGCAGGCAGCTGTCAGCTGTCCAGGGAGCAGGAGGCCTCTATCCACACAACCCGGGCGCCCCTGCACAGTGCCCCAGCCATCTCCAGGGAAAGGGACTGGGCCCCCTCCCCTCCTCCCCAGGTTGCCTGGCCCCACTGAACCACCCTGCACGTTGGGGAAAGCAGGGAGAAGGAAGGAAATACCAGAGAGCCAGAGTCCCAGGATGTTTGTTTTCCAGGCCCTGAATTCCTTGGGATAGAACCTCAAACACACACACGCATGCACACGCACACACAAACTTTGTACCAAAATGCTTTGATCTTTTCCTTTCTACAGGGAAGTCTACAGAGGGATTGTGTGAAAACACAATCACTAATATAACCTGAAGGTTGTTTTTAAAGAGAGAGTTTGTAGCCCGGCCGGGCATGGCTCAGCAGTTGAGCATCGACCTAGGATCCAGGTGACTAAGGTTTGATTCCCGGTCAGGGCACATGCCTGGGTTGTGGGCTTGATCAATGACTCTCTCATCATTGGTGGTTCTTTCTCTCCCTCTCCTTTCCTCTCTCTGAAATCAATAAAAACTATATATATATATATATATATATATATA